GAAATCTTCCCCCCCCCCCCTCAAAAGTCAAATGGTCCGCCCCTAAACACGCAAATTTAGTGAGACGCACACTCGTACATGTTAAATGTCACCTGCATGTCATTGTCATTGCCCTTTAACCCCTGGTCTAAATCATATGATTATTAAAGCGGGGCCGTTTTGACTTTGGGCCGTTTTGAATTTGGGCCGTTTTGACCTAGCACCGTATTTGTGGGCAAATTGTCTATACAATTTTATATACTGGATATCACAGCCATACCTGCCATTTTGATCTTTTCCTCGCGTTAGATAAGTTGATAAGTACACTCATTCTTGCCATCGTACCTGTTCGGCTGTTCCTCTTTCGATACGAAACTTCGAGCGCGGAGCACCGAGTTATCATACGGCACATTCAAGTGTATAAATTATGGATGATTATGATTCCAACGGACCATTCCCCGATTTACCAAAATTTTGAACTCAACAAATCTAGACTTTGCAATTTTCAGTCATTTTAGATTACAAACGGTGCGTAATACAAATTACAAAATTACTGAAAATTGCAAACTTTGCAAGGCTATATTATCCGCATTTTACAACATTTTGCAACGAAACTTTGGAATATTACTAATTTTGTAATGCTCTTTCAAGTTGTGATGACATTTTTGTTTAGGCTAGTTAAGATCAAAATTTTGGAAAAGTGGTAACCATTTCCCGTTTGTAATCTAAAATGACTGAAAATTGCAAATTTCGCAAGGCTATATTATTCGCATTTTACAACATTTCGCAACGAAACTTTGGAATATTACTAATTTTGCGATGCTCTTTCATGCTATGATGGAATTTTGTCTAGACTTGTTGAGATCAAAATTTTGGTTAATTGGGGAAGGGTGATTACAAATATTTCTTACTCTTATTCTTTAAAATATTAAAGATTTGGGAACAATGCTATACCAAGGCAGCATTCACTACCCTGTGGGTAAACTAGTTAGCAATTTAATCTGAAGTTTCACTCAAATATTATATTTTTTTCCTTCCTATCCAATTCATGTTTTGCAAACTGGGAAAACAATTTGCCAACTGGGATAGAATAATTTGTTGAGTACCTGACGGCTGGGGGTGTTCCACCCCCACACCCCCTCTCTACCACCACCCCCGGGTTCCAATTATCTCCATGGAACAGTTTTGAATTGGGTTAAAAGTTAAAATCTGAGAGTACAATGTCTATAATTATAATGGTGAAATGGCCTAGTTTGTCGTGGTTATGATTTTTCCTCAGAAAACTCATCTCAGAATGTCAGGAAATGTTGTTTTAGAGTTCCTTGAAGTTCAAATTTTCTCCAGGGTAGCATGCTGCCAGACCCCCAT